CCTTAGGCCCTCACCACCCTGTTGCCTGTGTCCACCGGCCATGCATACATGCATGTAAGGTCCTTGGTCGATTACCTCCCACCCACCCTCCCCCACCTTGCTTCCAGAGATTCCACACAGAGGCTTTACCATTTTAAACAACAATGTTTAAACAAGGTCAGAGTTGATGAGTGCTGGAACTCAAATCCAAAAACACATCCCTGGTTCCCGCATCCACACAGCATCCACTGTCCCCCCACTCCCATCCCCTCACCCCCACCCCCTGAAAAGATGAAAAGCAGCCATCAAGTGGGAGAGATGACGCCTGGCCTTTGGTAAAATAAACGCGATACCCAAACGTGGACCTGGGTTGTTATCATCATTCCCAAGAGGGTTAAAGGGCAAGGTCTGGAGCGCACCTCTCTGTCCACACGTCTCCCCTTCTCCTGTGGGGTTTTGATGCACTTATTCCTTGGAACGGAAACCACATTTTATTTTATTTTAACTTGAATGTATTCATGTTAATCACAGGACTAATCAGAAGGTTTCAGAAGACATTTGGACCAATTTATCACAAATTCCAGTCTTATAAATGTGTGTTTATCCCTCAGCACAGGAACAAATCCTCTTCCCCCTCCCGCTAACTGTAACAGTAAGGCCTCCCAGAGCCGTGTGTGCTGTGTTTGAAGACTACAGTAACTGGGAAATAAGCAGAAGGATGTCATTGTAGTATATATCATGTTCTATATATATATAGAACATAGAAACTAATATACTGGCACCTCGTGTTCCAGAGGATGATCTCGGCCACACTGTAACTATAGCTACATCCCAAATTAATTAGCTCTGCATACTGAGGCCAAGAAACGCTGATCCTCAGAGCCTGATTAAATGTTGAAAATGCTCACTTCATTAACCTTTCAGAATTTCCCTCATCAAAGCTTTGGTCAGAGGAGAAAATAAATGGCAAACCCATCAGATTTAACTCTATCTCTTCTTCAGACACATGACACATAGAATGGCTGAAGAAAAAGAGAAGACCTGGTGAAGACCAAAGTGCAACAATGAATCCCAGAATAGTCAAGGGATGACTGTCCTTGTCTATATATGACCACACCGCACTAGATCACTGGAGATGACCTCTTTTGCTCTTTATTGTATCAATAGTACTAGAGGCCAGGTTACATGAAATTCGCACACAGGTAGGATCCCTAGGCCTGGCCAGCAATCAGGGCTAATTGAAGCCTTCCTGCTGCTGGCTGGGGTCTTCCTTCATTCCGCTCCGCCCCCTGGTGGTTAGCACACATCAGAGCGAGCAATTGAACTCCTGGTCTCTCCATTGGACTCCTGAGGGAACACTTTGCATATCAGCCTTTTATATAAATAGATTGCATTGAATTTGAAGAAACACGTTTTATCATTTTATTAATTTGAGAGAAAGAGAGAGAGAGAGAGAGAGAGAGAGAGAGAGAGAGAGAGAAAGGGAGAAAGAGAGAGAGAGAGAAATATCAATGAATGTATTCATATTAATCATAGGACTGAATGTATTCATGTTAATCACATACAGTTATAAAATTGGAGTTTGTGATAAATTGATCCATATGTCTTTTTTAATGTGAGAGAGAAACATTGATCAGTTAGCTTCTATAAAGTACATGCCCTGACCGGTAAATGTACCCACAACCCAGGTATGTGTTCTAACTAGGAATTGAACCCACAACCTTTTGATGTACGGGACAATACTCCAACCAACAGAGCCACTTGACCAACAGCACAATATTGTTATTAAACAGCCTTGACTTTATGTAGTAAATGCTTCTATATAACTATATATGGATAACCTTGGAAACAAGCCACCAGGTCACAATTTGCTAAAACAGCAGCCCCTTTGTCCTGGGGATAAGTAACCTCTGATTCATCTGGAGCCTAAATTCATCATTGTATTTGCATAAATAAGACATACTGAAAATGAGACAATAATTAAACCTATTATGTTATCCAGGCTACTTTTGCAAAACTAAAAGCCATCGATATTACCATTTTCGGAGGCAAATCACACCTTTACCTGTCTTCAGGAATGAGGTTTCAGACCTGCCACACCCACTCTGAAGGTCAGCAGTAGCTGTACCAAAATGTCCAAAGTGGTGACAGCGCTGAATCTCAGGATAGGGAATCACACTACCTTTCTTTTCATAGTGCTGCCCCTTCAAAGCACTTGTCCACCTGATATTTCTCTTAGTCTCACCAAGGAGACTGTGAGGTCGACTTACCTACCTGGGCAGGTGTCATTGCTCCCTGGGCAGCACCTGAGGCCCACAGAGTTGAAGTGATTTTCCAATCACAAGAGTGAGTAGGAGCAAAGCCTACTGGACTGTCCCGTCTCTCCTAACACCCTTCACACCAACGTTGCCCTCCTTTAATGATTAAGGTGGACTACACCTGAAGGAATGAGCTCCTGGGTTCTGCTGCTTTTAACGACCAGCTCTGGCCATTTCTTAGGAAATGAAAACCCATTTACCTTCTATAAAACCAGGTCGAGAGTCTTAGGTCCTGCAAAAGTGACAAGACCTTCCTGGTGGGGCCATATTGGTGTCCAGCCTACGCTAACAGCTCTGTATCTATAGAGACCCTTCTAGGACACAGAAGTTGAAAGGTCACATCAACCTTATTGCTAGACCCTTCCCCAAAACTACTCTAGCCTGGGAGTGAGAAGACCGAGTATCCAATCCCAGCTCCAGCTAACCTGCTTGAGAAGAACTTAATCTTTCTGGGCCTCACCTTCCTTATCTGTAAAATTAAAGGCTGATTTAAATAATCTCAAAGGCCCTTCCATCTCCAAAATTCTAAATCTTCCCCAAGACTGGATATCCATCACTTTACCTAAAAGCTGAATCCGAGAATTCTCAACATCAGAACACCTCTTTCACGGCTCATTCCAAGGTTTCCCATTTTCATTTCATCCCTTCCTCCTACTTGTACCACTTGGTATCATCCTCTTCACTCCTCTCTGTTTTTGTTGTTGAGTATTTTAGGTTATTATCCTATCTCCTCTGAGTCATCGAGGTGTGATTTCCACACATGATTTAACCACCACACATTAAATCCTTTCAGCAACTTACTACTTTTTTTGTGGAGTTCTGTGTGTGTTTTTCACTGGATCCTCACCCGCCTCGCTTAGTTACATGGTCATCAAATTTTAAATAACATTTCTCTAAAGGTCACTCTTTTTTAAAGCAAACTTTTCTCTTGGTTCTTCACGTTCCTACTGATTTCCAACACAGATCTGGAGTCCACTGATTTCTAAAATATACAGGCATGTCATCGTTTATTTTGCCTTATTTTGACAAGCTTGATTTTCCTCTTTATGTCTGCCTTTCTTTTTTCTTTTTTTTCCTTCCCTCTATAATTCTTGGTTTCATTTCCACTCCTGCTGCTACCTTCAGTGAACCCTCCATCAGAAAGCAGAACACAAAGTACCTATCCAGAAATATGTAATTGTGTAGACACAAAGCTGTGTGCTGTGGAGGAAGGCAGGGGACACCGAGCACACGCCACTTTGCCAGCACATGAATGGAGGAGCTATGGGCTTGGCACCTCTGTGCTCCCATTTTAAAGCCCTAGCTTTCCCCAGAAAGAAATGCAGAAGTGTGTGTCCAGAAGGAAAAACGCTAAAGCAGTGAGGGAGCCAGAGCAGCTGGGGGTTGTTAACTTTTATCAAAGTCCAGCAAGGATGTTTTTTAAGCAACAGGAAGTAGATTTATTCTCTTTCATATTCTGTGTGTGTGTGTGTGTGTGTGTGTGTGTGTGTGTGTCTTTCTCTGTGTGTATGTCTCCTTCTCTCTCTCTCTCTCTCTCTCTCTCTCTCTCTCTCACACACACACACACACACACACACACACACACACACTCCTTTTCTCCTCTAACCTTCTTCATTTCCTCTGGCCAAGGCACAGAAACAAGCTGGACAGAAAACCTCTGTTCCCTTGAACTACCTTTAGAATTTGCAATGTTCGCCGGCAGTTCCTAGCCAAACTGCCCACTATGAGAAGCCTGGTCAGAGAGAGAAGAGCCCTCTGCATCAGCAGATTCCGAGGCAGAGGAGCGTTTATTAGTCCCCCAGAGCTGCCTCAACAAATTACCACAATGTGGCATCTTAGAAGAACACGAGTGTTTTCTCTTAGAATTCTAGGGGCCACGGTCTGAAATAGCTTCAGTTGGCTGAAATGAAGGTGTTGGCAGGGCTGTGCTCTCTCCAGAGGCTCCGGACAGAAAATCCATTTCCTGGCCTTTTCCAGCTCCACCTGTGTACTTCACCACTTCAGCCAGGGGCCGTCTGCGCTCCTTGGCTGATGGCACCGTCCTCCACCTTCAGAGGACATCACTCCAATCTCTGCTTTCATCACCATACGCCTTCTCCTCTAGGTAGTCAAATCTCCCTCTCGCTTACAAGGACACTTGGATTGCACTGAGACCTCACCCAGTAGCCCATGATAATCTCCCCATCCCCAGTTCTTTAACTTGATCATATTGCAAAGCACGAGCTGCCATATAAGTAGCATTCAGGTTTCAGGAAATAGGGGTGGACATTTTTGGGACCATAATCCAGCCTACCACAGAGCACATGTGTTTAGTTGGATTTCTCAAAAAAGCCTTCTCATTATCTACTAACATTGAGTTATATGCATGGGGCCTGAGGAAAAAGGGAAGATGTTTTCTAAAAATCAATACAAGAAATTCCATGTATGTTTGCTCCTGTCTTGTCACTGGCTTACCTTTCCCACCATGTTTTGCCTTTTACACCATCTGGTTTGTACCCATGGAACCCCATAAGCGTTCCTGAGCACAGCTCCTGCTCCACTGCCCTCGGCGTTGTGAGAAATCATCCACCTGTTACACAGAAACTCAACTTCCAGCCAACACTGGGTCTCAGAACCACACACGCTCATGTGTCAAGGGTCCAGCAATGGCCTGCTGTACCCCAGATCAACCACAGAGAAGGAGAAGGCTGTGTCAGAACTCACCAAACCTCTTGTAACCGAAGGACTGCATCTCCTCCTCCTCTGCAAAGTCGTCTGCAGGAGAAGAAAAAACACAGTGTTAAGCCTGGTGTGGCCCAGAAGTGCGGGGTCAGGGCAGGACTCAACTGTGTGACCCCCTTCTGCTCCCCCTCCGCTTCATCACAGTGGCTTTCCCTCCGCTCCTAGAACACATCACATCTTCCTCCTGTTTCTTATGGAACTCTCATTCTAATTCGGCTCTCAACTATATGATGACACTTCTGAGATGCCTTTCCCAACTATCACCCCGCCCCTCCATCACACCATCCTATCTTAATATTACTCTCTGATATCCTCTATAAGCTCTATTCACTGAGCCAAACCGGTTTCAGCTAAAAGTCACTTTTGATGACAAACAAAGGTGCTAAGACCAGGCCTTTCCAATTATTCTGGAATTGGTCACCATTACTGCACCAGCACCCAGCTTTCTCCCCACATGCAATTCAGTTCAAAAGCACTGATTCAGCATTTACTGTGAACCAGAGGCTGCCAGGCTGTGGGGCTTCAGAAGGGAGTGAGACATGGTCCCTTCCATCAAGAAGCCGAAGGCTTTCAAGGAAGAGAGGCTCATAGGGAGAAAATAAAGCCTCTGTGATTATCTTTTCAGCCCCCAAGCAGGACATAGGACCTGGCTATATTAAGATAAGATGGTGTGATGGAGGGGCGAGGTTGTGGAGAAACCAAAGCTGTATGAGATCTGTAATACAATGTGGTGAACCTCAGAACACTGGTTTGCTATAAAGTGCTATGAAAACACATGTAAGAGAGCAATTAACTTCTAACAAAGAATGGAGAAGTGTGATATCTTTGAATTTTACCTTTGCTTCCTTATCAGAGAGCTGGGGTGAGATGTTGGAATTTGGAAGGCCAGGTGTTCATAATTAAAGCAGTCTTCTGATGTTCAAGATTAAAACTTTAGTTCTTTCCACAGGGAAGAGCATGCTTACAACCAAGAGAGCAGCACCTTTCTCACTGACCCAGTAATTGGTTAGTTCTACACATACATAGTAATCCCCTACTTTACTGAGTAATTCCATCCTATTAATGGCTGAGCAGCTGGGTCTAGTCTCAGTTAAAGAGAAATCCTTATCTGCTGCTTCTGCTTAGAAAGTCATGCATTTACTCATTCACTCCTTCATTCATTCCACAAATGCTTACAGCCTAGGGGAGTGGATGAGACAGGAACATAAGGGAAAGACGATGCCACCCACACGTCCGCTTCCCCTCCGCCGCGGTGCCAAGTCTGCAAAGGAACCTCCGCACACGCAAACCGTGTGGGCCAAAGAGGCACCGCCGAAGATCTCACAGGGGAAACAAAAGAGCAGTTTGTGCTGCATCCCCAATAAAAATAGCAGGGAATTTCCCATTGGACGTTTCTGTTCTCCTCCAAAGCTTTTTTTCCACAGGCCCACCATTCGTTTGTTTGTTTGTTTGTTTTCTTTTTCCTCTCTGATCCTTTTCCCATGCAGCCTTTAGTCTGACTGACTCCTCTCTCCTTCCTGAAGTTTCCCTGGGAACTTCAAATGTCTCATACTTTTGCTATTAAAGCATTCCTGCTCTGCCTTCCAAATGAACATGCCCAAACTCATTAGGGGGCTCAAGAAAACAAAGGCTTTGCAGAGGACCCCCTAAGAGAACGAGAGTGGGATTTTCTGTTTCTTGTCTTAATCCTCATCCCAAAAGAATTAGGAATTCTCATGGCAGCCACTAAAAGAATACAGATTTCTATCTCATCCAACTCTAAAATTAGATAGAAAATTACATGAAGACATAAGGGCTACAAGTAAAGTACAACAAATAATGTCTAACGGGGGTTATTGGGAAGGTCTCATGGAGAAGTGCCTTAAATCAGTTTTTCTTAATATTTTTCTTAGGAGTGAAGAAGAGAATTGGGAAACATGCACATTATATCCATTTTTTTTTTTTTTTTAGAAATTCATAATGGATTTTGAAATATTAGAAACTCTGAGAAGTGCTGAGAAAGATTAAAAAAAATAAAAACTTGTTTGTTTTACTCCATGCTTTCAATATCCTTAAAAGCGGTAGAGTTGGGCAGGTAACACTTGGTATAAAAGTTCATCGGTATAGGTGTCCCCGAGATCCTTGCTGCCAAATTCTCCCAGCTGTTCAGGTGATAAACAGCCAGGTCAGGCTGGTGATGGAGTCGGGCATTTAGGGGATTGAGAAGGAGGGAGAGGCAAGAGCTGATGGCGCTTGTGATGTGTGGAGAACCCTCATCAGGCTCCAAGAGCCACAGGAGGGAGAATTCGAGGTCAGGCATTCCTGATGTCTGGGCATTTTACACTGAGTAGCCGGAGTATTATGATCTCTGAATATTAGAGGCCTGGTGCATGAATTCGTGCATGGGTGGGGTCTGGCCAGCCTGGCTAGGGGGAGGGGACCTCGGGGGTTGGCTGGCCTGCCTGCTGGTTGAACTCCTGGTTGAGGGGACAATTTGCATATCAGCCTTTTATTAGATAGGATATACACTAAATGGCCAGATTGTTATGCATTCAAAGATCATAGTAATCTGGCCACTCAGTGCAAAAGGCAAAAGGCAATAATAGGGGTCACAATGGCTGACAGGTCTGAAGAAGACAAACAGCCTAATATTCTGTGCAATGTTATTTTCTGTTCTCCAGATCTTTTCCTCAACCTGTGTAGACCTAAGCTGCATGTGTCTCAGGTTGTCTTTATAGAATTGCGGGCCTGCAAAGGTGATATATTCAAATAAGAATATTTTCCCTAGAGAATATGCAGTCATTTTAGCAACTTGCCACTTTTCAAAATCTGTCTCTGACACAACCTATGCCACGTAACTCCTACATGAGCAAGGACTGGGCTAAGATTTAAGGCCTCTAAGTTGTGGAATGCTCAGATCTTGATCCCTGCTCTGATAGTTTGTCTGCAGGAAGGAGGTAAGCCCTACATACTAAATAATGAAATGTGTGTGATTTGAGTTATATCTACAAGCTGGCACTTCCTTGGCTTCCACAGATGTACTTCAGCATTTTCACTTTAGTACCTATGAGCTATGGCTTACCTATTTCAAAATGTGATTTTTATTTTATTGTGGGCCAAGCTGTGCAACATCTCTACGGTTAGACATCAGCTCTCCTTCCCTCATACTTCCTTTCTACAGTGTGACAGCAGCGAACTGTCTGCCTTATATTTCAACTCTGTTTTTTACTCCACCAGATGGAAAGCCATTTGAAAATAGGAAACTTATCACATTGTAACCCTCAGCAACTAGTGCATTAGTGGGACATTACAGGCACTCAGTAGCTATAGAAAATTAAGCAGGTTAGAGTTATTCTATCTCTCCCACTAACTGATGAATTCTTGATGGACAGAGATGAACTCTTTCTCTTTTTGCATGTCCATCATGTTTGGGGGAGATAAGAGAATGAATGTTTAGTCAACAATTCCTGAAGACCAGGTACTTCTCATTCATTGTGTTTCTCTGTTTTACAGATGAGAAAACTGAGGCTCAGAGAAGTTGCATAATTTGACCCAAGGTCTTACAGCTTGTGAGTAGCCAGTCCAAAACTAAAACCTAGCCTGTGGGTCTCTCCACGCAGTGGTGGTAATGACCACACAGACCCAAGAAACTAAACCCTTTACTAGCAACAGAGAAAGCTAAAAAACAATGGTTTATACCATAAAATTCTGAAAGATTACCACAGACTAAAAAATAAATAAACAAAAAGAATGGTTTCACACTTCTCTACAGCAAACTGGAGCTAAAAGAAAATAAATCAGTGTCTTCAAAATGCCAAGGCTAAATTATTTCCAACATAGAAATATCTTAATTAAATGAACAAATAACAGAAAAAAACTTTTCAGACTTACAGAGTCTCCAAAAATGTACCTCGCATGCACACTGTTTCCAGAAAGTTGTTGGAGAATGCATTCCATTAAAATAGGAACAAAACTAGAAAGGTGTGTGTTTGTGCATGTATATGCCCTACCCTAACCTTAACCCTAATTCTGAGCAGGTTATAAGGTTCCAGAAAAAAAATTTCTTCAAGAAGATGAAGATGGGAGAATACCCAATGTGTTTGAACACACTGCACAGCAATTTAGGAAAGCAATTTGGGATGAATGATGATATATATACATACATATTTATTTACTAAACAAACAAAATAAGAGGATTATTAGTGCCAGGGAAACAAAGTTACACAAGAAAGAAATACAAGTCTGCGGAGAATAGCATTTACATCATTGTAATAAGGCAAACACTGAATGTTGAGCCAATCAAAATTGGGACATAATTATATTGGGACGATGGAGAGCAACAGGTTTCCATTAGATGGAGAAATTCTCATCTGCTCTAAAGGGAAGTGCCTAAAACTAAAATAACAATAAGAAAGCGTACCAGAAGCACATCACTTATGGGTCATGATATGGGTCCTGGGAGAATGTCTGCAAAAAGGGCTACCGACAATTATTTCCATCCCTCTATCGGGAAGTTCACTTCCACGCCTTTTCAATCTGGAAGGGCCTGAGACCTGCTTTGGCTGATAGAATGTGCCAGAGTGGTGGTGACCTTGGCGCCTACACCTTAGCGGCCTTCCAGCTTGTTTTCACCCCCTTGGCAGGCAGCGGTCATATGAATGGTCTGACTACCCTGCTTGGCTAGAGGCCACGTGGAGAGAGAGGATCCCTGGAGGATGAGGGACTGTTAAAAGGAGGAGATGAAGAGCAGGGAGCCCTCAGCCATTCTGTCACCCTGCTGATGCTCCCTCCACAGGAGTGAGGCAGAGGTCAGCCATCCTACTGAGCCTGACCCGAGTGGCAAAATCATGAAAAAATAATCAGCTGTTGTTTTAAGCCACAGGGTTGGGGATGGTTTATTAGGCATCAGTAGATAACGGGGCGGGGGGGGGGGGGGGAGTAAATGTAAAAAAAAACACAAATGCCAAAAATGTTCTCAAGACGTTGTCTCCGGGGAACGGTGGACGATGAAATGATGGAGGGCCTGGCAGAAAACTACTGTTTTTCATAGAAAA